GGTCTCGAACCCGCGGGCTCAGGCAATCCGCTCACTTCAGCCTCCCAAAGCGTGGGATTACAGGCTGAGCCACCGAGCCCGGCTAGGAAATATATTCTAAGATAATCATTTCAACTCAGTAACCTAAGTCAATAAGATAATAAGTACTGGCCGAGATCAGTGGCTCAGACTGTAATCCCAGCGCTTTGGGAGGCCGAGGCAAGTTGATTGCCTGAGCCTGCGGGTTCGAGACCCACCTGGGCAACTTGGTGAGACCTCATCTCTACAATAAATCAAAAATTAGCCGGGCGTGGTAGCATGCGCCTGTAGTTCCAGCTACTTGGAAGGCTGAGGCGGAAGGATCGCTGGAGCCAGGAGGTCCAGGCTGCGGTGGCCAGGAGTGTGCCACTGCACTCCAGTCTGGGCGACAGAGTGAGACTCCCACTCAAAAACAAAAAACCAAAAAAAAAACCAAAAAAGATAATAAGTATTTAAGTGTCTATGGAAGCCACAGCATGATAGTAATTTGCCATAAGTTTTAAAACAAACTAAGAAGGAGATACATGAATACTATACAACTGAAATGAAAGAACTTAGAACCTACATAAAACAAAAGAACCTAGATATTTTATAAACTTAGTTGATGAAAGTAAAACTCATATCTAACAATGTTGGTATGAATGCAAAATATCTAGAGTGAAATCATAGGCGGCATTAATAGAATCAGAATTTCTAGAACGAAGGAAAAAAGAGTTGGGCATCATGGTTTAAGGGGAATACATTCCGAAGACAGGATGCCCTGAAACCATGCTGTATGGAGAACAACACCTAAGTAAAGATGACAAAGTGAACATCTGCATCTATTTCTGCTCCCTCCCAGAATTTTACAAAATTACAGTAAAAGATATACATATATTTCAAAGGCACAAATATGGGAAAAAATGGAAGAGAAAGCAAAAAAAAAAAAAAAAGAAAAGCAAGCAGTTAGTAGACAAATGGAAGCCGGCCTGAGAATGCTAAATTCTCTGTCAATGGTGGGAAAAGTCTAGAATTGCATTGTCTAACATGGTCACCCCATAGCCACATGTGGCTATTTCTTTTTTTTTGAGTTGGAGTCTCACTCTGTCACCAGACTGGAGTGTAGTGGCCACTCCCAGCCACCGCAGCCTCGACCTGCTGGGCTCCGGCGATCCTTCCACCTCAGCCTTCCAAGTAGCTGGAACTACAGGCGCGTGCTACCATGCCTGGCTAATTTTTTGATTTGTTGTAGAGATGCGGTCTCACCAAGTTGCCCAGGCAAGTCTCGAACCCGTGGGTTCAGGCAGTCCACTCACCTCAGCCTCCCAAAGCACAGGATTACAGGTTGAGCCACCAAGCCCGGCTGGCTATTTCAATTTAATAAGTTAAATGAAAATTAAAATTGAGCTTCTCAGCTGCACTCAAATGCTCCCCAGTCACATGTACCTAGTTGCTCTCATACTGGACAGTGCAGATATAGAGCACTTCCCTTATCACAGAACATTTTATAGGATGACACTGACACAGAACCAACCTGACACACACTGTAAAATTCCTAAAAGATTCCTAAATTGGTGTCAGGAGTGACTAATTAAAAGCATGCCTTAAGAGATTATTATACCGACACATTCTCTCCTATATGATGAGCAGTCAAGTGGTTATCCCTTTGTCATCCCAGCAGACTGTAAGCTGAATCTCTAGAGAGTCTGAAACGGACAATGTCTGGTCTGGGAGACATGAAGCACAGTTAACGGTAGGAGTACAATAATAAAATGAACGTATATGCACACCAAATTCTCAGACCCTAGTTTAGGCTCTTGTCATCTGCTTGGCTACTAGAACATTGGTAGCTAGTCCTACTACACATCTGGGAAATAGAATTAAGAAGTCTTCACTAGGAAATCTGACCAGCCTAACAGGAAAGACCTAAAGAACTAAAGATACTGACATTAGGGTATCTTCAGTGAAACAGATCGATCACCCTACAGTGGAGCTCACAGCCCATGGCTGTACTCATGCACTCAGAACTTCAAAATAACTTTTATTCCCATCTCTTAAATAAAACAGATAACCAAATAGCAAAAGACATCTGATAAAAGCTTATAAAGTGAAAGAGATCAAAGCAATCAGGACACTTAAAAAAAGGGAAAAGAAAAAGCAAATCTGGAAGAAATATAGGCTATGTAGAAAGATGAAAAAGAAAAAACACACCAACACAACCACCAAATTATAAATAACACAGTAAGTCCTCACTTAATATCATTAGTAGGTTCTAGAAACTGTGACTTTAAGCTAAATGATGTATAATAAAACCAAGTATTTCCCCCTTATTATTATAACAAAATGATGTTAAAAAAAAAAGGTTGTTTGTTATTCAATGACCTGTATGTCATTTGACTTAAAGTCTCAGTTTCCGAGAATTATTGATGACATTAAGTGAGGACTTACCAACGAGAGAGAAATGATATCAAAACTAAAGAAATGAAAACAGGATTGCCATAAAAGGAAATATTCTGAGAACAAAAAAGAGATCTTAGAAATTAAGGCCAGGTGTGGTGGCTCATACCTGTAATGTCAGCATTTTGGGAGGCTAAGGTGGGAGGATCGCTCAAAGCCTGGAGTTCAAGATCAGGCTAGACAACATAGTAAGACCTCGTATCTACAAAAAAATTTAAAAAGTAGCTGGCCGTGGTTATGCAGGCCTGTAGTCCCAACTACTCAGGAGGTAGAGAAAGGAGGACCACTTGAGCCCAAGAGTTTGAGACTGTGGTGAACTGTGATGGTGCCACTGCACTCCAGACTGGGTAACAGAGTGAGACACCAATTCAAAAAAAGTTTTTTGAAGAAATTAAAAATATTAGCAGGAAAAATAAAATAAAACTTTATAAACAGTAAATGAGAAAAATCGTGAGTGAGAAAAATAAAAGTAAAAAGTTTTACTTTTCACTGTTAACAAAATGGCTCAGTTTAAGGATAAGACTTGAAAGGAAAGAGAAGTAAAACAGAAAAAATAAAACTGGGAGATCAACCAAGAAGGTCTATCATATAAATAACAAGAGTTAATCTAGTATTTAAAAAAAAAACTTTCCAATGACAGTATTTAAGGATGGAATGTATTACCCAAGGAGACAGTGATTCCATTTTTCACTGGACACATTTAAGCCCAGCAAAGACAATCACCCAGAAAATGGGAAGGTGCTCTAAACACATGTTGAACAGATCATTATATCAGTGGCTCCTAAACCTGGCTTTTCTCAAAACCACTCTGGCAGCTTTAAAAGAAAGGGAGAGAAGGAGTAAAAACTTTACTAAATCTCACTCATGACCAACTGAATGAGAGTCTCCAGGATGGGGCCTTGGAACCTGCTCAGAAGCTCCTCTCCATGGACCTTTACAACTTTACAAACACAAGACATCCTCATCTACTCCTTCCAATGTTCTTTTTAAGTCTTATCCTCAAACTGAGCCATTTTCCCAACAGTGAAAATATACTGAGATGGATTACATTCCCCCCCTGCTCTTGCCTCAGTTTAGTAACATCTTTAAGTGTTATAGAAAATTCTTGAGTACTTAAAATATCTACATTTGCCCTGCCACTCACATTCATGATTATTTTATATAAAGGAACGCATATCTTAACAATTCATCTTTTAGAACAGACATGCCCATAGCTACATTCTAAAATACACGTTACAAATCACTGAATTTATCGAAATATTACATTTATGACATTTTAAAAATAATTACATAATAGGTAACTTATACTATTTATAAAATTCATTTCAGGATAGTACAAAGGACATTAAAAATATCTTTATAAAGGGGGTTGCAATCTGAGCACTGAGAATCATTGGTCTAATTTTTAAGAAGGATGATGCTGTCTTCCTTGGGTCATATGTTGGTAGCAAGGAGAGCTGATATACTGTTACTCTGAATTGTAGTTTGTTAAATCCCATCAAAATTATTAAATTAAAATTTATAACTAGAACACATGCATTTTTTTAA